ATGAATAGAGGATCGAAAAAGAAGAAGAAAATATGTATTCCCTGTCCCTTCCACCCGTAAAATTGAATAAAATTTCAAAAAAAGTAAGCGCAGGAATAACTTTCATTTGGCCTTTCGTCTAAAGCGAACATGAGCTGGGTTTTTATTGCAGCCAATTCCAATAATGGAAACATGAATGAATAGAGGATCGAAAAAGAAGAAGAAAATATGTATTCCCTGTCCCTTCCACCCGTAAAATTGAATAAAATTTCAAAAAAAGTAAGCGCAGGAATAACTTTCATTTGGCCTTTCGTCTAAAGCGAACATGAGCTGGGTTTTTATTGCAGCCAATTCTAATAATGGCAACATGGATGAATGGGGGATGCAAAAAGAAGAAGAAAATATGTATTCCCTGTCCCCTCTACCCGTAAAATTGAATAAAATTTCAAAAAAAGTAACCGCAGGAATAACTTTCATTTGGCCTTTCGTCTAAAGCGAACATGAGCTGGGTTTTTATTGCAGCCAATTCCAATAATGGAAACATGAATGAATAGAGGATCGAAAAAGAAGAAGAAAATATGTATTCCCTGTCCCTTCCACCCGTAAAATTGAATAAAATTTCAAAAAAAGTAAGCGCAGGAATAACTTTCATTTGGCCTTTCGTCTAAAGCGAACATGAGCTGGGTTTTTATTGCAGCCAATTCCAATAATGGAAACATGAATGAATAGAGGATCGAAAAAGAAGAAGAAAATATGTATTCCCTGTCCCTTCCACCCGTAAAATTGAATAAAATTTCAAAAAAAGTAAGCGCAGGAATAACTTTCATTTGGCCTTTCGTCTAAAGCGAACATGAGCTGGGTTTTTATTGCAAACAATTCTAATAATGGAAACATGAATGAATAGAGGATCGAAAAAGATGAAGAAAAAATGCATTCCCCCTCCCTTTGACCCGTAAAATTGAATAAAATTTCAAAAAAAAAGTAACCGCAGGAATAACTTTCATTTGGCCTTTCGTCTAAAGCGAACATGAGCTGGGTTTTTATTGCAGCCAATTCCAATAATGGAAACATGAATGAATAGAGGATCGAAAAAGAAGAAGAAAATATGTATTCCCTGTCCCCTCTACCCGTAAAATTGAATAAAATTTCAAAAAAAGTTACCGCAGGAATAACTTTCCTTTGGCCTTTCGTCTAAAGCGAATATGAGCTGGGTTTTTATTGCAGCCAATTCTAATAATGGTAACATGGATGAATGGGGGATGCAAAAAGATGAAGAAAAAATGCATTCCCCCTCCCCTCCACCCGTAAAATTTAAAAAAAATAACCGCAGGAATAACTTGCTGATTTTCTCATAGATCCAATTATTAGGTCTTAGTCAAAGATATATAGAACCACCTTTGAGGTATCTTGTTTGTCACAAAAAAGGAACCATGGAAATCGGACAACGTGATAGAGAATTATCGCTCTGAACATACATAAAAAGAAAATATTCCGAGGAATTGAGAATTTTCTCTTTTTTTGAAGTCTTTAAAAAGTATATTTAATTATCAATGGAAATATTATGGTTTGAACCTAATTTGGTATATTCGATCACCATAAACTAAATGTAGGTAGGTAATATTAAATAGTTATTGGTCTAATGCTTGTAAATTTTTAGAACATGTAAATAAAGTTTTCTAATGTAATGTCTAATGCTTGGTTTTATTCCAAAATTACTGTAAGGTTTGTTTTAGGCATAGGTACTTTTGAAGTTTTCCTTGTTTGTTTTTGTTGTCGTTTTCAGGTATTGTAAAGTGTGACACTTCATTTGGAAGCTGATTTTATGTATATGTATTATTTCGGTTGATGGCGATTAAAGCTTGTATTTCTTGACGTTAGAACTTCGTGTTAGAACGTAATAACTTGTAAGATTTATCAATTATTTAAGTTTATGATGCATTCAATAATTTTTTGTTGTTGTTGTTGTTGTTGTTGTTGTTGTTCGTTAGATTTTTAATAAAATTAGCTTTAAAAATAATAATAAAATTAAAAATTTACTGTTTTGAGCGTCCAAATAATAAAAGTAAAAAAAACCAAACTTAGAAAGTTTATGTTCGCGAATTTCTACCATTTCGAAGTAGTTCTTTTTCGTATTATATTTACATAATCGTATTTTTAAAATGACTCATTAAAAAATAACAACAACAATCACACAGTAAGTAACGAAAATGTGCTTGTATTAATTTAGTATGTAGTTAATATTATTGTTTTTCTTGATAGATTCATTGCTATAACGGAAAACGTTGACGTATGATACTAATATATCAAGTAACCCAATCTAAATTTCTAATGGACAAATCACACCACAATAAAAAAAATCTTTCATTTTAAAATGTATATTGTGGTTCTGAAAAGAACCGTTTGTTATATATTAAAAAAAACTCATCATATTTGCAACTCCATTATTTGGAACTGGTGTATTTAGTAACGGCTTTGGTACCTTCACTTACTGCGTGCTTTGCCAATTCACCAGGAAGTAATAGTCGAACGGCAGTTTGGATTTCTCTACTAGTTATTGTAGACCGTTTATTGTAATGTGCAAGACGAGAAGCTTCAGCAGCAATACGTTCGAAGATATCGTTTACGAAACTGTTCATAATGCTCATAGCCTTACTCGAAATTCCAGTGTCGGGATGAACTTGTTTCAAAACTTTGTAAATGTAAATGGCATAACTTTCCTTCCTCCTGCGCTTCTTTTTCTTATCGGTTTTAGAAATATTCTTTTGGGCCTTGCCGGCCTTTTTCGCAGCTTTACCACTTGTTTTGGGCGGCATGATTCAACAAACAACAACTGAGCGACGTTAACTAGCGTACGAACGGTCACAGATATAAAAATTTTTACTTCCCAGACCATATTTATGTCGGTTCGGAGTCGAGCGTCTCTTTCGCATAGGCTCCGCCCCTACATGTGCAATCGTACGAAGCGCACCGATTGGCTATGCGCGTTAGTATAAAGATGATGCTTTAGGAAATTTTAAGCACATACTGAATACCCAGGAGCTATTCCGTTCCAACCTTGTTTTTGTTAAAGCCAACTTTAACAAAACGGCCCTAATTAAAACCACCTCTCCCAAAACCCCCACCGAGCTCCAGACCCTCATAAGGCAGCGAATGGGGGATAATAAAATCATCCTCAACCCTAAATACGCCCAAAACCCCCCAGAAAAAATCATCCGATCCCCCCCTGCCCCCCAATTCTCCCTAGTCATCCGCCAGGTTGACAAAAACATTTCATTAGAAGAAATCCAGGCGGTTCTCGAGGACCTTGACTTCCCATATACGAAAGTATGGAGGATAAGGTCCCAGAAAACCCTCGAATTCACTTCATTCATCAGGGTGTTGACTCCTTCAGAGTCTCACTATTCCTACTTGATCCGCGAGGGCTTCGGCATCTTCGGACGAAGACACCCAGTCGAACCCTCAAACCAAAACCCCCTGCCTCCCATTCCCAAATATTGCACTCAGTGCACCGGCCTTGGTCATTCGGCCTCAGAATGTTCCAAAAAACCCGCCTGTCCCAACGACGGGCAGCACCATAGGCCAGCTGACTGTAAAAAGTCAGAGGTGCCAAAATGCCCTAACTGCCGCGGCAACCACCCCGCATACTCTATTACATGCCCTGAAAGACAAAAACCCCCCCAGAAACCTGAACAGGTTGCTCCCGTCTCCCTCCCAACATCCACCCCCCCCCAAGAGCTAACATCAGAGCTCAAAATATCTATCCAAATATTCTCTACTCTTCTGATGAACCTCCTCCCAAATAGTAGAGAAATTCTCACAAAAATCCTGGGAACGCTAATCCCGGCCATATTCGGCCATTCATGCACCGTAACAGGTCATGGAAATTTAGCAATTTTCACATACTCCCCGATAAACCCTGACCTTTAATGGATTGTCTTATCGGCACAATTAACTGCAATGGCCTCGCTCGGAAGAGGCCATTAATCAAAAACCTCCTAAATTCTGAAAACCTACAAATATTGTCTCTTACTGACACTAAGTCAAAACTTCCCCCCAGCTTCACTGGGTATCAAACAGTTCATTTAAATAAATCCCAAAACTCTTTTGGGAATGCACTATTAATCAAAAATTCAATTCCATTCAACTCTCACACTTTTCCAGCTCATCTAGCTGATCTTGATATAATAGCAATAGACCTCCCGATAGACAATCCATTAACTATAATCTCGTACTATAACCGCCCTGGCCAAATCATCTCCCTACCACTGATAGAATACCTATCTTCCCTCCCTCGAGCCGTTTTGCTTGGAGATTTGAACTCCAGACATACCATGTTCGGAGATCACGCCTCTAACCCAAACGGAATCCGACTAGCTAATCTGCTTATAGACTTCCCCATATTCAGAGCCTCAAACCGACTTCCCACCTTCGTATCCCACCAGGGATCATCTATCATTGACCACATCCTCCTGACAGACTCCTGTACTGGACTGGTTGCTGATAGATGCTTCATAGGTGTTACGATCACCTCCGATCACCTTCCTCTGATGTTACACACATCCCTACTTGCTCCAATCCCCCCCAGAGCTACCATTCACACCTTCCGCAACCTCAAAAAAGCAGATTGGCCCCTATTTCAGAGAACTATCTCTACTAACATCCCAGAGCAACGCCCGCTCAACTCCCCGCAGGACATCGACACTATAATCGATGAAGTCCAAACATCCATCACCCACGCCGTCGAATCATCCACCCCTATCACTTCAATAAACACAGCCCAAAAAGCCCTCCCCCAATTCATCCTCGCTCTCATCTCCCAAAAACGACGCCTGTATAGACAATACGTCCGTACGCACGACCCTGTCATCAAAACAGAATGGAACCGTCTCAACGCCCTGATCAGGCTCCAAATCAACCTGCACAAACAGCAACAATGGATCAATACCACATCTAATTTGGATCATAGAGACGGCTCCAAGTTTTGGGACAAATTCCGGATAATCACGGGTCAAAAATCCAAAACCCACTCCCACCTCCTAATCGACGGTCAAATCCACTCCACCCCCGACGAGAAAGCCCTGGCCCATAAAACCCACCTCGAAGCCACATTCAGAACCCCCGACAACCCCCACTTTGACGAACAATTCAAAATCGAGACCGAACTTCACGTCCTTCAGACACTTGCCGCCCCACTCCCCCCTTTGGATGTCGAAAACCCCCTCACCGCCCCATTCACCCCCCAAGACATCCAATACGCCTGCCAAGCAGGCAAAAACACGGCCTCCGGGCCTGACTCCATCCACAGGAGAACTCTGAAACATCTCCCTGAAACCATATTTCCTATTCTCACTCTTATCCTAAACTCCTGCCTCTCCTTATCCTATTTTCCACTTGCCTGGAAATCCGCAAACACCATTTTGATCCCCAAACCAGGCAAGGACCCCAAATCCCTAAATTCATACAGACCCATCTCTCTCATATCAGTCCTAGGTAAACTCCTCGAGCTTCTGCTCAAGGAAAGAATCTGGGAATTTTGTGAAGAGAGAAACATCATACCCCAATCCCAACATGGTTTCAGACCCCACCACTCCACCCAGGACGCAATATCATCCCTTCACACTACCGCTGTCACAGCGGTAAATTCCCAGCACATCTCCTCAGCTGTTCTCCTAGATGTTCAAAAAGCCTTTGACCAAGTCTGGCATGCCGGACTAGTCAAAAAACTTATGAACATAGGTCTCCCCCCCCAAATTTCGAAACTCATACACTCCTACCTCTCAGACAGAAAAATCACAGTCAAAGTGGGCAACTCCTTATCCGAAACATTCACCCCACTAGCAGGAGTCCCACAGGGCTCCGTCCTGGCCCCCCTCCTCTATCTCATTTACACGCACGACATTCCCCCCCCAAACCACCCCACATCCAAATGCCTGCTATACGCAGACGACACAGCTCTAATTTCGGTAGCCAAAAATTCTAACCAACTAAATATTCGAACCCAAAATCTGTTAAACCGGTACTCTCACTGGTGTAGCAGATGGAGGGTCTCATTAAATCCACAGAAAACTCAATTTATCGTCTTCAAACACCCAAATTCCAAAAGAACCTCTCAGAACCCCCAACTCGTAAACGTAAATCTCCTAGGAGTCAGGCTAGCTCAACAGACCGAAGTCGACTATTTGGGGGTACGATTTTCTCGTACTCTTAACTGGTCCTCTGACGTCCAACGCACTCTTGATAAGATGCGAAAGCGAGCCAGTCTCCTTGGAGCTTTGTGCGGACGAATAGGGCGCTGTAACCCAGATACCCTCATCCATACTTACAATTCCTTCATCCGACCCGTTGCCGAATACAGAGCTATACCCTACGGTGTACTTCCCACACACCTGTCCCACAAACTCACCACACTCGAGAGACGTATCCTCAGACGATGCCAATACCTCCCCTATCGCTCCCCCAGCGGAGAAGTCTTTTTAAACACCCCCAACACCCCCATCCTCACACGTTTCCAGTCCCTCAGGAAACAATACGTCTCTCGCACGCTGAAAGGCACAAACACACACTCCCAAAACACACTTCGCACCCCTTGGCGACCCAACCAACTCCCCCTCTTTCGAAGACCGAAAAGAAAATTGCCACAGCCGAATCTAAAACTCCTCACAGACGCCCAAGACCTCCCCCTCACCGCTGAACTCCAGGATCTGCTGGAATCAGCCCCGCTGAGTATAAGATAAACCTTCCCAATTACTTAATTAGAAAATCAAAACACATGTACAATATCGTGGTTTAGGTTTTGTGGTTTTCCTAAATCATATTCCCCACCTCATACATGGACCTGTCCAATTATGAGGTTGGAAATAGCAAAATTGGCGATATTCTTGGGGAACAAACCTGCCACACAGGTCCCACACACACGCGCACAAAATTAGGAATTAGCTAGCTAGGTTACTTTTGTAATCAGGGCAGACCACCCTGAAAAGGAGGATAACTCCTATAGCAGGGAAATAGGAAAACAATATGTCCTAGAAAATGTAATAACACTTAAGATTTCCGCTAATAAATCAAAAAAAAAAAAAAAAAAAAAAAAAAAAAAAAAAAAAAAAAAAAAAAAAAAAAAAAAAAAAAATTTTAAGCACAGTCGATTGTGTATCGTGTTTGTTGTACGAAGTAAAAATAAATAAAAATAATAATGTCTGGACGTGGTAAAGGTGGAAAAGTAAAGGGAAAGGCAAAGTCCCGTTCAAATCGTGCAGGATTACAATTTCCAGTTGGTCGTATTCATCGTTTATTAAGAAAGGGAAATTATGCAGAAAGAGTAGGAGCTGGTGCACCTGTATATTTAGCAGCCGTAATGGAATATTTGGCTGCTGAAGTTCTAGAATTGGCTGGTAATGCCGCTAGAGATAATAAGAAGACTCGTATTATCCCCAGGCATTTGCAATTGGCCATAAGGAACGACGAAGAATTGAATAAATTGCTTTCCGGAGTTACAATTGCTCAAGGTGGTGTTTTACCAAACATTCAAGCTGTACTTCTGCCAAAGAAGACTGAAAAGAAAGCCTAATTGCTTTTAGTTTCTTTTAATAAAAACCCGGTCCTTTTCAGGACCACAAATATGTTTTTTTCGATGATAGATAAAATTGAATACCTACATAGGTACATTTTTTTTTTTTCTTATTTTAATACCATATCG